TCCCCCTGTAATTATTCTACCAGTCGCCATGCCCTTCCAGTTATGGTGCTCGCTATAAGCCCTGTTCTGCCAGCGAGGTCGGCCACCTCTCTGGCAATGGTCCCCGATACTTCCCCATCTACTGGAGGAATTGGAAACTAAATATTGATATGTTACTGGCACTGTACTTGTAAGTCCTTCAGCCAAACATACCTGTCAAGTTTATACCATACACTTTTTTGTAGTCTTGTTTATTTCACATTTGCTTTGTTTATAGACTGATCTCAGAATGATTGGTTCTTGATTTTGTAATGTGGTGGCATCAAGTAATGAGGTTTATAGTTAAAGATGAATAATACAAGTGCAAGGTGAAAGGTAAGAAGGATCATTGTGCTCTCTGTCTGCTCAGAAGGATTGGTCAGAGCCTGAGGCAGAATTTCCATGAGAAAAGTGAGCATGTACCCTGATACCTCCTGAATGAATATGTGAGGTGCTTTAACCTCTGGCCTGGCCTGCTTGGTGGTGCTTGTCTTCATTTGAATAGATACAGTGTTCTGTTTACTTTTTGCACATTGTTGATGTCTTGCTTTTTATCAGAGACTGGACTCTGTCTCCATCTTCAAGTGAAAGTCTACTCACTTGGGCCCAGAGGATAGAGCTAGTCCATGTCTCCGGAGATAGGGGGAATAAGCCCTGTTGATTGTGCCAGAGTACGCTTTTATCTGAGGTTGGAGACAGAGTCCAGACTCTGAAACGTTTTTAAGTAAAAAGCAGGACAGTGGGCAGTGTCCAGAAAGTCAATAAGTGCAGTATTTTATTTGCTTCCAATTCATTGTAATGACCGTCTTTTGGGGGGGGGCACTCTGCTACAAGCCAGAAGGGTGTGGGTTCAATCCCCAATGAAGTCGTTGGATTCTCAATTGACTCTGATCCTTCCAGCTGCAGTATGGCTCCGTGGTCGAGTCAGCCATTAACAGAAATCTTCTTGGAGATAAAGGGTGACCTGCCAGCACGTAAGGCTGACAACCTCACCGCCATCTGTTTGCTGATTGTCTAGAAAATATGGGAGCCTTGACGTCTCACAGCCCTGTGCACCTCGATGGCCTGTTGCAGGGATAACATAACCCTTTTACCTGTCTTCTTGGGCATGATGCTCTGTAGTTAGGCAGAGGAACATGGTAGTCTACCCTAAAGATTGAGGCGGTAGGCTCCTCCGTAATGTTGGTATCTCACTGCCAGACTCTGTAGCAACACATGGAAAAGGCAGTAATCCTTACCATCACTGCCACAAGAACCTCAGGTCCTTTGTAATGGCATTTCTGCTTGCAGAGGGTTCACAATAGAGATAGGCGCAGCGTTCACGGTTCTGCTGGCCTCAAAGATTGGCATCCCCATCAGCACGACACACTGTAAAGTTGGTTCCGTTGTCTTTGTGGGCTGGGCCAGCTCATCCAAGCAAGGCGTTGACTGGAAGCTCTTCAGGTACCAAACACACTTCTCATCTGTATTTTGAGATGTTATTGGTTTATGTAATGAAGGCTATGGGGCCCACCCAGCCTCCTATCCATTGGGTACCTGTGTCATGAAGCTGACCACTTACCTCCATCTAGTGCTGAGGGTCAATAATGGTGGTGCTATACCTTCCCTTCCCCGCGTCTTCATGGCATAGTGCTTAACTAACTCCCTCCATCATCTTCAACTGCTGAGAAGGTATATATGAATAGAGCATCAAATGTAATGTGATCAGGCAGTAATGAATTGGGAAGAGTATGGGAGTTAGGGGCCATGTTCAGATTTGGGGCATTATCTTTTCATTCACTTGGAGGTGCTGAGGATAACAAAACTTTCAGCCACAGCACCCAGTTTAGATTTGAACCTGGACCTTCCGGATACAAAGAAGGAGGTTCTTGAAGTTCTGTGATCATTTGTGTGTCGGGCATACCGGAGGAGTAGAACTTATGCGCATGGCTTGCCTGAGAATGTCACATATGACTGTATTTCCCTGAAGTCCCGCTCTGCCAATTGATGACTCCAGGAATGATTGTGAGCAAGCCCTTTCAGATGCGTTCAGTGGTTCCAGCAGTGGCTCAGGGAGTGGGTGGGCTATTGGGAAGGCTGTCTGGCCATCCATATGTACACTGCTTTCAGCAGGTTTTACTCTTGCATCCAGGGCAGTCCCCCTGACAGGTTTTATTTGAACAAGCCTCACAGTTGATTTTGTTTTCCTGTAAGGAACATAATCTTCGCGTGGATGGTAACAGTGCCAATTGCTGCTGGACTCAGCGCACTGATGATGGTGATTCTGAAAGCTGTTGCACTCTAAACCAGCCTGTTGATGCCACGCAGTCTCAGTGAGAGATTGAAGCAAAGGTAACAAGCATCATCATGTTTCTTCATTCATCAAGCTAAGATGATAAAAATTAAGTTGAATACATGCATAAGCAGCAAACATAATAACTTGTTGGGTGGGGGGGAATGAAAACAGTACTGCCGTAACAGACTGACCGAGGTTTATATGCACTGTTTAAGTAAAGCTCAATTGTTGGGATAGTTTGATATTTGTTGGTGTTGATTAAAACAACATTCGTGATGTGTTTTCTGTTACTTCATCCAGCTGCTAGCCTGCCTGGTGTGTGTTCTATGTGAAATGAATGATAACTTCAGGTTTTGTTAGGAATTATATAATTTTTGTTTTATAAAAGGTGTTGAATGGGGAAAGTTCTGTGAAGAAATAAAATATTTTAAAGAAATTATTGCCTTTTTCTTTCTTTTTTTTTTCTTTGTAAAAAAAGACCTGCAAGTATGTTTCTTGATTTAATGAGCTTTTCTTAAGTGATAAGTTATTGGATCAGCACTTAGAGGCTTGTGATATAGCACTGTAACATGCTGCAATCTTAGAACAGGTGGTATAATGCTAATTTATAGTATTGTGCACAAGAACCGGTGAGCATTGTTTGGTTCATCTCGCCCGTCAGTAATCTTAAGAGCAGAGCTCACCAGATTTTTGATGTACACACGTCTGCCAACTCTTGGTGCCGCACTTGGGCTCAGTGAGGGCCTAGACTTGTATCATATTGTGAGCATTTTATTTCAAGTGTCTGGAACATGTTTCAGTAAAAATATATGCCATAATTTGTACTGTGTTGTGTTTTGAAATGCATGATGATCAGGAATGAAGAACTTTTTGAAAATGTGGTAGCCAAACATTATGGTCACCATGAAAGGGTGCATCAGAATTTTCTGTCACCTTGCTGTGACTCTCTCCTCCAATCAGAGTGCAAGATATCTCCCCCCTACTGCCATACTGTGTCCTAAGCACCTGCAGGACAGGTATAAGACATTGGCAAACTGAATTACAGAGAGGGTTTAATTGTTATCACTTCACAGTTTGTTGATCATAACGTCTGTGGATATGAGTCACAATTTCCTTTGTTTCATGTAACAGAGAGATTGTCAGAATTGTAAATTCCAAGTCCCAAATGCTCAGCAGGAAATTATTTGCCAGCTGAAAGGCGACCATATTTTTCAACCCCTGGCAGTGATGGATGAATCATATGCATTCAGAAAATATCATGACTGTACATTTATTTTGAATGTGTGTTTTATTTTTAAGGCTGCGGTCATGCATGATTTATTCTGGTAAGGTGAGCCATGTACTTTTCCTATGATTTCTGTAGTTTCAGTTTATATAATCTCAGTTTCTAAAGTGGGATACTAAATTCTTGCTCAGATGGGTTCCAAATTTAAAGTACAACTTGATGTATGTGCAGATTTGTCTGTGTCTGGTCTGAACATTTGAACTCTAGGGATGGCATCATCCTACGCTTGATTCAGTGCCCATGTTAATCTTTTGGGCTTTCTGCTGCTTCAGCCTCTAAGTCAGTCCTGTCACTTGGCTTTTCATGTCTCCACACAACCGTCTTAACAAAAATGCTGCCAGCTATTCACATGCCGTCATTGGTACAGAAATAAAGACAGGCGCCTGTCTCCTGAACGCACTGCTGATTTCATTGATTCAAGCAGTGCAGTGTGTTGTTGGTAACAAACTGAAGATGTCATTGCAGTCAGCAGTTTCCTCGCTGACACTGAAACCTTCATTTCAGTTAATATTTAGGTTGACCTAGGTTTGTTGCCTGGCTGCAGCACATGGATCTGTGCAGGGTCACATATCCTCATGACTTTCCATTTTGTTAGCCATCCGCTGGAGCCAGGATGATAGCTCAGCCATTTCAGTGATTGGGTTGCAGGCTGAATGACAAACGTTGAATTCCCAGCAGAGGCTACCATGTCCGCACCAGCTCTAGGGCCACCCATCTTCCTGGCTGACACTCATTTCTGTCGGGTGCCGAGGCTAAGGATACATGGGGCTATACCTCAGTACCCCATTTTTCTTCATGACATGCTTAATTCAAGGAAAACGTTTCTCCCATTTAGTCCTTATGCATTTGTTAATGCTACCAGTTGATTTAATGTTAAAAATGTTGTCAGTCTATCATGCATACAAGACTTTGTTAGGTTCAAATTATCTGGTGGATTTTTATTTCAAACATTGAAAACTGTAAGAAGTGCATATAGTGACAAAGCGTTACAAGCTGGAGATCCTTGCTGATGTTACGGAAGTGTGTGTTGATGCAGTAGGTGCATCTGACTAGAACTGTGAGAAGAGAATGTTTGCATTACTGTCTGCTCTGCTAGGGAACTGCCCTGACACCCTATGTCATGGGCAGCTGTGTGATCCTAACAAATAGGATGATCAAAAGTGGATTTTGCAAATGCTCCTGTGTTCTTTGGTGTTGAAAAGGTTGGTGTGAACAACACAGGACTGCAGGAAGTGAAACTTTACCATATTCAAGCAGCCGGGTGATATGTTATAGCCATTTTCATTCCCACTACAAATCTCTGTAAATGTTTTTGTGTAATGCCTCCCCAGCCGTATATGTGATGTACAGATATGCCTCATCTCTTACTGAAGGCATGTTTGTACTTTTGTTAATGAAACAGAAATGATCACTAGAATGTGCATTGTATGGCATGTAAGTTTTTTTGTAGATTTATTTTTAGTACATCTATAGCGCACAATGAAATTGTTTGCCCAGAATTTGTATTCCTATTAATTTTTAGTCATGTTTAATCATATTTATTGTAGCTCATGATTGCTTCCAAGTTTAAGTGGCTTGAAATTACACTGGCTGAAAATTTTTGCTGGCATGAAACTTGGTTACAACTGATGCTGAGTTGTTATGTGAGACTGGCCATGTACTGTGAAAGCCTGTTACAAAAATAGACAGTTTTACTCTCAGCAATCTATACAATGCACTGTAAAATAGGTTCATAAAGAGTGAATCATGTAGCACCTAAGGAGATGCCCACAATGCTTGCAGAATGTGTGCATGTGTCGGGGTCAGCTGTCAATGGCAACCTAACCTCAGAGCAAACACAGTTGCACTTAGCATGATACACAAACTGCTGCTGTCATTAGGTGTGCAGCAGAAAGTGCGATGTGATAGTGGCAACATCAGAAGAAACCATATGCATTTTGGACCAAGATTGCCTCCGAGTTTCCATTTAAAGTGTAGAAATGTGAGTGCTGTGGACCTAATAAAGAAGACATATGTATTGTGCTATCTTCCCTTGTCCCTTGCCATTACTTATGGTAGCCATGGCAATTTGAGTTCTCATCCAAACATTTTCTTTCTGATTACATGAAAATATTTTGAATTACTTGTATGTTATATTGTAGTGTGTTAGCAAAGAAAGTGATCATACCTTTTGCAAAGAATGCTTGCTTGTGACAGTAATGCGTAAGTCACATGCTGAGCAAACACGGTTGTTTGGTTTCTCTCTGTGTTCAGATGGATAAAACATGTTTTCTCTGTCGGTGAAATAAATGCAACTGTGAGCATGGCAGCCTGGGTGTGCTGCAGTTAAGCGAGATCTCATATCATTTGAAATGGTGCTTGTTTGAGAGAGAAATGTACAAGAAATGCATATATGCAGTGTTTCTTCCACGTGCCTGGGCACACAGTCATTAATTGCCATGAATTATATGCTGCCAGTTGTAACCAGGTTTCATGTTATATTCTTAAGTGGCTTTTCATTGGTACAAGTTTTAACAGTATTTTACATTACATATATATAATATATAGAGCAATATGAGGAAAAAATGGCACTCATAATGTTTAATGTACATGGTGCAATTGTGTCTGTATACATAGACCAGAGATCTCTATACTGCTTGTGCATCAGTGCAGTCATTACCTTGAAAACATTAGTTGCTCGTTATAAATGTTTGAATGGTAGTGCAGCAAAATAACCATATAGCAGCTCAGAAGAAGTAATGCAGATTCTCAACCCTAAGCACAGCGGTAACTGTGTGTACCGCCCATTTTGACACAACTGCATTTTGTCCACAGAGAGAGTATGTGTACATTCTGTATGATTCTCAGACTAAATAGCAATTACTTCCCTCACAAACTTTTAACCAGTTTGTTTTTGTAATGGAGACATTTTTCTGTGCAGTAGGAACAGAATTTTATATGTTCTTCATATGAACTTCAAAGGGTTCTGTGTTCGTGCCCAGGTATGTACTTTTTATACTGCTTTTCTGATTTTAACTGCATCATTTTCATGTTTCTTGTGTAGAATGGAACTGACACTAGAAGAAGTTCCCAGCTGCTCAATTTTGAATTTTGTTCCAAATTCTTCACAGTGAAGTCTTCTTGTCCTGTTCAGCCAGTGGACCTGTTAGCTCCAGCGTCTATTTCCAGGTTCTGTGCAGTCTTCCAGCAGTTCCCTCGTTGCAGAGTTGTCCTACTCCAGAGGTTTAGAGCAGTGTTTGGCCCCAGTAGGTTGCTCACCTCACCTTCACTGTCCAACGATGGGAGAACTGCTTCTTTAAGGGGTTCGGACAAGGCCTCATATTTATGACCCCGGGGAAGAGGGTGTTTTGGCTGTGCTCTAGCTCAGGGAGATAGTCACCTGCTTCTCACCATGGGTGCATGGGTTCAGTCCCAGGGCAGTTTTTGTGTTATTTCTGGTGGGCAGGCTAACACTTTGGTTTCCCGCACCAGTTACCATGCTACCAATGCTGCAGTCTGTCATCTGGGCCATTACAGTGGGCCAACTTGCAGCCTAAGTGCCAAGCACCCCAGTCTCATGCCACCATGAGAATGAAAATATGTCCCAGTATTTCAAAACCCCCAGAAACCAGACTGCCTGATGGTTGATGGGTCCTTACTCAGTTTCTCAGGACTACGCCACCATGTCTGACAGCCCCTCTTTGTCCACCACCCAAGGGGTACACACCCACGCTAAGGATTATAGTGGCCTGCGAGGGCATGACAGATAATCACTATGTGACTGTATGTTCAGTAAGAACATTTATGGGTCTGATTCAGAAATGTTCTGTATTTTGCCTCGTGTACCATGGAGGGAAGCAGAGGCACTTGTGTGGGATTGTGGCATGTGTTGCTGTCTTGAACAGTTCCACATTCAGTGGATGTAACAAGCATGTAATGGTGCCCTGCCTCCATAACCTGTCCTGGCTTTTAAAATTTGTAGCACTAAATAGGCAATGCAATTCTTGTACCCCCCCCCCTTTGTAGTGTGATGGTAAGGTGAAAGTGTGGTACAGGTTTGGAATGAATGTGTGATCTTATGTTACGTGTATGAGAGGTTACCATTAATGGGACAAAGTGTGATGCAAGAGGTATATGAGATTGCTTGTTATATGGATATTTTGGTGTATTACCTATTGGGCTGTCTGTGCTCAACTGTTTTGCTGTTTAGCAGTTAAGTGTTAACAAACCATACATGGTTTACTGGAGAGGTGATGTAGGAGCAAGTACTTAAAAGAATTTCTGGTTAGAACTGAAAACTCTTTGTTAGTGCTAATGAAAGTTTTTTTTAGAACAAGATGTTGAACTATTGGCCTTACAACTGTATCGTATGTACATGGCGAAATGTTTGCAACCTTGAAATCTCTATCAATTATTGTTACAGTATTTTAAATATGTCAGTTGGTCTCCCCATTCCCAGAATAAAATGTGGAAATAACATGTTATGCATCTTTGATTGTTTTATGCCTTTTCTGTGCTGTCCCCTCTGATAGAGCTCACTGTATATATATATATATATATATATAATGGCAACCAAATGCAGTCGTGTCTGTCTCCTTGGGCAGTCAGCTGTGTGAATATGGAGTTGGTGTACAGTGTTCTGGAAGCTGGCTGTTTCCATTATCAGGGTAGACACAGCCAATACAGCGGTACCTGTGTACCACAATACATGGCGTCACATACCAGAAGATCATAATCTTCATACGGATTGACCTGCGAACCTCAGCTGTCATGCAGTGGTATCTGTCCTCGCTGGGGTAGGAAGCCGGGCAGTCACAGGCACTGTGCTCCACACTCCCTGTCTCGTCACACTTGAGAAAACCTGACACCTACTGATTTGATGTAAACCTGCGATTCTAAGCCAAACAGATTGTTGCTGCTAGACTTGACTCTAATGGTGCAGAGAGCTTGTTTTATTAAGTGAACACTGTCAGTTGAGGCACTATGCTACAAGCAGGAAGGTCACGGGTTCAAGTCCCAATGAGGTCATTGAATTTTTTTTTCAATTGACTAATCCTTCCAGCCGCACTATGGCCCTGGGGTTGACTCAGCCTCTAACAGAAATGAGTACCAGGAATATTCTTGGGGGTAAAGAGCGGCCGGTGCATAGGGCTGACAACCTTGCCATCTGTGAGTCGACTGTCTAGAAAATATGGGAACCTCAACATCTCACAACCCTATGGGACTCCACAGCCTGTTACAGGGATACTTATACTTTTTACTGTCAGTTTTTCGGAGGTTGCTGCCAGTGCTTTGAGTGTGGGTATTCATGACTCCCTGCTTCCTTGGTACATATTTTGGTAGATACGGTGTAGTTGGTAGCTCCTGATCTGTAGGAATTCGAGAACGCACTTTTGGCATGATGCTGTTCACTGTCTGAAATGGCTGTCACTACAGTGAGACACCAGCATCGCTGTATTAATCCTTTTCCATCCTTTTTATTTCTAAGCTCAATTTGTACAAGTGGAATAACAGGTGAACTCAATGAAAATAACATGCACTCCTGCCATCTCTTTTTCCTGTATGGTAACTGCTAGAAGAGAAGCCAGCCACCATAAATGGCAAATGCAATTGTGATGTGCCCATACATCAGCAAAATGGTTGTAGAGATGGTGGACCGGCAGGGGAAGATTACCGGTGGAAGCCTTCCAACAGAGAACGAAGGAGTTGGACGACAAGAGAACTGAATTATAACCCGTAACCTTCCCTTCATCTGCCCAGCTTATTTCTGTCTTGGAAAGGATTTGTTCTTTCAGGATTTATGAGGAGTGCATAAAGTAGACAATTCAGCACTTTTAATGTGAGGAGTTCTGTTTTCTGGCGTATAATGTCATGTAGACAATTTTTGTCAGACTTCATGGCATCATCCAATCCCAGGAAGTAGTACTCTTAATGACCATCATTGTCATGACCTTGAATCCTGAATTTTCAATATAATTTGGATACCTCTCTGTCTTGTAAATGGATGTTGTATGTTGAAGAAACTGATTTATAGAGACATGGCAACCTGTTGTGGATGTATTTTGCTGCAGACCCTGCACTGTGTACTAATGTAGTTTATGTTTGAGTGCTTGCTTCCAGATGGGTTATTGATATATGTTTGAAATGCCTATGGCTTCTTGGCATTGTTTTGGATTGCACTGTAAGTAAATCTTGGGTAATTACAGAGAGTTTGACTTTTGACACCTAAAATTTGCCAATCTAAAAACTGTGTTGGAAATTTCAAAGGGAAATTGTTAAGGATAGAAGTTACTGAGAATACAGTTTCTGTGGATTTGTGACTTTTCTTTCTATGAAAGAAAAAAAAATAACCTCAGTAGAGTAACCTGTGGCATGCTTCAATAGCATCATCACACACACACACACACACACATACCCAGCAGGCCCAGCAGTATAACACGCAGTCACAGGAGTAAGACACAACACAAAGCACAATACACATGAAAGTAGGAAGAATACTCCGACGAGGAAGATAGGTGTGACTCGCGTACTGAAATACGACATAAGGATGACAAATCCTGAACAGTTTTAACATTTTTAATATTTAAAATTTAGCAATGTATATGACGAATATATATTTTAGTTATTTTAGTATAAAGACAACAGGGCATGCAATGCAGTAGTTCGACGTACATCGAAAAGCCCCTGAAGATGGCACTTTAGTGCCGAAACGTAGTGCAAGAGAGAAGAGTGAGGTGAATAAATGTATGCACTGTGAGACGGTCAGAATAAATCATGGTCATCACCAAGGTTTGAAGCTTTAGGTTTGTTCTGTTCTGTAGACCCTTCCAGAATAGCTTAGAGCACAGTGGATCTTATTCGCCCAGGTGTTGCGGTCCATTAACTGTCCTGGGATATGTTCAGGTTCCTACATGAATACAATTACGTTTAGTAGTCTCGCTTCTGATTTTATCCTTTGATGTGTATCCTGCCACAGCCCTAAGAAATTTCATCTCTGCTGTTCCTCATGTCTGTGGCCTCTGTTTTTTTTTTTTTTGGGGGTCAGTGTCCATGTTTCAGAACTGTACTCTAATGCAGGGGCAATCATAGTTTTTATAAAATTTAATCTCTGTTTTCCTTGCATGTCTTTCTTGTATTCAGTACTGTCCTTGTTGCCCCACATGTGGTTCAATTTACTTGGCTTTGTTTCCAGATCTCTTCTCAAAAACTGAAAAGGGGTGCACCCCCATGTGTTTTAAATGTTTACCCAGTAGGTGTATCATAACTTTTTATCTTAAATGACGTTTTCCTTTATTTTTCACTGTTGATACAGTTAAATTATATATTTATGAATAAAGAGTAAGTTTCATCAAGTACAATAATTCAATAAAAATAAAACCCTCACAAGGTTAGGCTGGTATGAGCCATCATCTGAAGGCACCCAACACTTCAAAGGGAATATTCACAAGTATGAGCTGCCAATTCTGCAGCTACTCAAGCAATTCCCAGCATTTTATGGAACCCGAAGGTTCATTACCATGTTCACAAGAGCCCTCCACTAGTCCCTATCCTGAACCAGATCAATCCACTCCATACCATCCCATCCTATCTCTCTCAGATCCATTTTAATATTGTCCACCCACCTATGCCTTGTTCTTCCCAGTGGTCTTTTTCCTTCTGGTTTTCCCACCAGTATCCTATATGCATTCATCGTCTCCTCCATTCAGGGTGTGCTAAAAAAGTGAATGCTGTTTATTTCAGTTGACACAACTTGTTTTAAAACTATTTTAGAGACAACATATGCATGTGATTACTTGTGAAGTATTTTCGTTTACATGTTGGTCGTCTTCTAGTGATGGGTGAAGCATGTGAAGGTTTTATTTCTCTTAAAAACTATTTCCCTTGATGGAACTTACTCATTATTCAAGGCTTCAAATAAAAATGATTATGTTCTATTGATCTCTACAGAGCTGTTTGTAGACTGTACACTTTCAGTAGCATCACCGAACTGACAGCAAGTAAAACCGCGGTGGGTTTAGAGTATTCTGCTCAAGGTTCTGTTCCCATTTCTGCACGATTATCTGTGTAAGTACAAAGAAGTGCAGGTGATAGTGGGCATGTCTTACCCCTATATTTATTTCCCCTGAAACCTTACCTTGCTTATTTTCCTTCCTTGTATGGGTTCCTGCATCATGGTGCTGACTCTGTACCTGTCCCAGCCGTGTGTGTCCCTGCTAATTGCTGGATAATGAAAATGAACCCATTTTGCTCTTCAGGTATCAGTCAGTGTTGTGTTATTCTTCAGGTATATAAATTCTGCAATCTACACACACAAGATGCTGAACTCACTGCAGTTTCAGTGACTCACCGATAACTTAAGTACGCAGCAGGTTTGTACATCTGTAATGCTGTATAGACTTGTATTTTGGAGGTGCTTGGTTTGAATCTCGTCTAGGATGTTGGCTATCTTGAGATTTGTTTGTGGCTTTGCGGACTCCTCCCAGGCAAGTGCTGCTGAGGTAGTACCTCGATTAGGATGTGACTGCTTCCTTCCAGGTCCTTTCCTGTCTATGTTCACAAGTTCTCCTCCAGTTGGATGCTATATGGTCACACGGAGTATGTCACTTCCGGTTCTTTACTACCAACTGTGCCATCTGCTGCTGCTCTTTGTAAGGACTGCGAACTTTGAATTATAAGAGTACTCATATATGAGTGATGCTCGTTCACATTTTGACACATCTGGGAAAGTTTTGGTGTGTGAGGGGGTGGGGGGAAGCAAAAGGCATGTCCAGTAAGACATCCTCACCAATATAAACAACAGATGAAATGGCCTGTCTGTTGTGTAAGTGCTGAATCCATTGTTCTTGTTTTGCATAGACCTTTGTTGATTTTTTCCTAAAATAAATATTTCCTGCTATTGGATTCATATTATGGTCCCTTCCTGGACTGTGAGGTGGTGCAGTCTGGTAGCTGGGAGAACAGACTGCCTGTCTCCATCTGCAGATTAGAACCCACACAAGACCTACTAATCTAGACTTGTATTTTGGAGGCGAGCAATTAAAATCTCGGCTGGGACACTAGGGCTATCCTGACAGAGTTTTCCTTCATTTTCCCCAGTTCTACCAAGCAAATTCTGGGGTAGTACCTGGATTAGACCATGACTGCTTCCTTCCAAATCCTTTTCAGTTCATGCTACGACTCACTGCTGCCTAGTGTAGATACAGGCAGCACCTCCCCACAGAGCATGAATCCTCACTGACGGTTTCCTTACAGCTGACTGTTGAGTTAAGTAGCAATTTGTGTTTCTGTACATGTTTTGCCCTGACACTGCAGTGTGTTTAGTGTTACTTGATGTGCATGCCTGTGTACCAAAAGTGTGCATATATGGTGTGCATTTTCTGTCTCACGTCTAGGCCGAAGTATGTCATCAGATCTGTTCACGACGAGGTGAAGGTGGACACACAGTGCAAGATCTGCTCTCTGTAGCCAGGAATGAGGTA